GAAATTAACAATCCAATTGAAAAATGGGCAGAAGACATGAATAGACACTTCACCAAGGAGGATATTCAGGTGGTCAGCTGATACATGAAGAGATGCTCACAATCATTGGCCATCAGAGAGATGCAAATCAAAACAATAATGAGATACCGCCTCACCCTAGCACTGATGGCAAGGTTCAACAAGACAGACAGAAAATAACAAATGCTGGTGGGGATGTGGAGAGATTGGGACTCTCATACACTGCTGGGGGGGACTGTGAAGTGATACAACCACTGCAGAAAGCAGGATGGCGATTCCTTAGAAAGCTGGAATTGGAGATACCATTTGACCCAGCAATCTCATTACTAGGTATATATCCTAGAGAGGTGAGAGCCAGGACAGGAACAGATATATGTACACTCATGTTCATCGCAGCACTATTTACAATAGCAAAAAGATGGAAACAAGCTACGTGTCAGTGGAAGAGTGGCTGTGGTAGTTATGTCTGTGTGTCAACTTGGTTGGGCTTGGTTGAGTGGCTGGACAGCTGGTGGTAGTTATTCCCCATGATGAGACTGGCAATCAACTCCATGGTAGGATCTACCACAAGCAGTTGAGTAGCTGCATTTGGGTATGTGGTCTGCTTCCTGTATATAAGGAGAAGTCTTGGGAATGGTCTCTAGCTTATGGCATGCTTGGACCCTGCATGTAGCCGTATGTTTGTTGAGCAGCCTGCCGTGCTCTGCCGACCTTGGAACTTACAATGGACTTGAATTAATGGCCTGCGTGTGGTTTGGTAACATCGGGGCTGTGCCTTTACTTCTCAGCCTTGGGGCTTCTTGGCCTCAGCAGCCAGCAGCTGTCTGAGTAAAGAAACGCCTCTAGCTCCAGTGGGCTGGGAGCAGGAGGCAGAGCTGGACCCCAAGGTTGAAGGGCTTTCACCCAGCCCCTAGACCCTGGCACTTTGAACTTGGACTTAAAGACTCCAAATTGTAAGAATAAACTCCTGTTTGTTAAGGCTGTCCCATTTGTGGTATATTCCTGTCAGAGCAGCACTAGGTAACCAGAACAGTGGAGGACCAAACTATGGTACACACACATAATGGAATACTATGCAGCACTAAAGAATAATGTAGAGTCTGCAAAACACCGTATTATATGGATGAACTTAGGGGACATTATGCTAAGTGAAATAAGGCAATCACAGAAGCACAAATATAGTATTAGTTCGTTGTTGTAGAGGGTCAAGGAAAGGTTTATATATGGAAGGAAACTTTCTTTGTTGGTTGCCAGGCATGGGAGGGGAGGGGAGGGAACACTGCCCCCCCAAAAAAAATGCACTGACCCATGTCACTTTAGTTTTGTGTATTTTACTGTACATAAATTATATTTCAATAAAATGCATTTTTTTAAAAAAAGGGAGGGAAACACACTCCCGTCGAGTCATATCTGACTCATGGCAACCCCTTCTTGCATTTCCGAGGCAGTATCAATATGGGAGTGGATTGCCCAGCCTTCCTTCTGAGGAGTGGCTCATGGGTTTGAACCATCAGCCTTCTGGTTAGCAGTCAAATGCCTTTGCACTATGCCACCAGAGCTTCTTCCACAGTGGTGCTGCCTCAGAAACCCAAGGAAGGGTTGCTATGAGTCAGAAATGACTCAGTGGCAGTGAGTTTTCTTTTTTTTTTTTTTTAAACATACTTCATTTAAAGAAAATAATAATAATAAAATCCTGGATAGAGTGAGAAAACAATGTGGAACGAAATGTAAAATCATAAAACAGACCAGGTTTACTGGTCTGATAGAGCCTGGTGAGACCCCTGCCACTATGGCTCCTAGTTACTCTTCAGGTCTGGAATTGAGCTCAATGCCATGGATTCCTGCCAAACAATACACAGGCATACAGGGTGGACATTTACATTGGATAGATAAAGTCCGTAGAATGATCAATCATGGGAGAACAGAAGGGCAATTTTTGCACTGGGAGATAGCTCGGGGGCAGGGAGGCATAGGAAAGAAGAACACAGGGAAGAGGTAACTACAGGGAGGAAGTGGGAAAAGAGCTGTTACGTTGTGGGGATTGTGGTCAATGTCATGAAATACAACGTGTATGAACTGTTGTTCAATTTGCTGTGTAAACTTTCACCCAAATCACAATAAAAAAATAAATAAATAAAAACCAGACCAAATGCCATCTAGTCTGTCCAACTCATGGTGACCCATGTGTGTAGAGCAGAACTGCTCCACAGGGGATTCAATACTGTGACCTTTGGGAAGCAGACTGCCAAGGCTTTCTTCCAAGGCACTTCTCAGTGGGAACAAATTGCCAATTTTTCAGTTAGTAGTCAAACGTTTAACCATTTGTGCCACATCAGTGGCTAGTTTCGGTTCAAAGTTTAAAGATTATCTCAGGGCAATAGTTTTGGGTAGTTCTCTAATTTCAGCCAGTCTGGTAAAGCTGGTTCCTTAAGGTTTTTAATGGCTGAGTTGATTTTTCAAAAGTAAATTGCACAGACTTTCTTCCAAGGGTGGACTCAAATGATCAACCTTTCAGTTATCAGTGATTTAATTTGTTTTGACCAACTATCACAAGGAATTTGTGACAGAACAAGAAAGCTCCAAGGGGATAAATAAACATGAACACATAGTTAAAAATGTAAAGACAAACATCCTTCTGGACTTATATTAAGGTATTAAATTTTAAAGTCTGATTGAGAAAAAGGAATAAACGGTATTGACTTTTGGAGAGATATTGAGGGAAAAAGAATCTGGGGATACTTTACTTGAAATACCCAAACTGATGACTTCTGCCAGTTTCAAAAGCCAGTCGTTTCTAAAACAAGGACCTCTTCACCTTCCCCAAATCCCTTATCTTGGCATGCTAAAAAGCAGAAAAATGGACCTCAGTGTACCCTTTAATTCCTCAATCTTTAATTATCTTAAAGATCCACAATATGGTTTCTGTTCCACCCTTCTATAGAAACTTAAGTTCTCAAAGACCATAAAAGACCACCCATGACCCTCACACTGAACCATGACCTCTTTGCTTCTGACATGGCTGGCCATCTCTTTCATTCCTGAAAACATTTCCTTCTTTGCTGTAACACTTTTCTGGTTCTTCTTCTCTGACAACTCCTGTCTCCTCTGCTGGTTCTGTATCTTCTTTCCCTCCATAATCGGGTACATTTATTGTTTTGGGCTTTTGTTCTTCTCTCACTGTATTCTCTTTCCCTTTTACAGCCTCATGATCTCCTCTAGATAGATGACTCCCAGATCAAGTCTGACCCTCCTCCCTGATTCTGGTACCTCCTGGACATTTCTATTGGACTCTGTCATCACCAACTCAACAGAGAAGTTTCTAAATGAGAGAAGTTTCTAAATGAAACTTCTCTCTTCTGAAAATTGTAGCCTTCTCCTGATTTCCAATTTCTGTAAATGGTAACAAAATTCCCCTAGCAACTCAGAGATACATTTTATTTTTCCTCTCACCCACGCTTTCTAAATTTAGCCAGGTGTGACCCTGAGCAAGCCATTTTACCTTTCTGATCCTTAGTCTCCTCATACGAAACAGAAGGAAAAATTATACTTGGAAGGTCTGAAAAGACTATGTGCATAAAAGTGTCTAGTGCATAAATTGTTCAATAAATACCTCCCTTCTCTCCAGTAACAGCCCCAAAGCAGACAAAAGAAATTCTTCAAGGGCATGTTGTTATTGTGTGCCATTGGATCAACTGAGATTCAATGACCCTATATAACAAAGTAGAACTATCCCACAGGGTTTCCTAGGCTGTAATCGTTATAGAAGCAGATTGCCAGGTCTTTCTCCTATGGAGCTGTTGGCAGGTTAAAACTATCAATATTTTGGTTAGCAGCCAAGAGCTTAACCAGAGCTCCTTTTCAAGGAAATCTGTCGTATGTGTTTGTTTTGCCCCACAAGGCCTTGCACAGTGGCTTACACACAGAAGTAGCCCAATAAACATTCATCGATTGACACCCGTGGATGAGCGATGCAGAAGTAAGCTGTTGTTGTTAGCTGCCGTCAAGTTGGTTCCCTGAGTCACAGTGACCCCAGGCACAATGAAGTGAAATGCTGCCCAGTCCCCATGATTGGCTGCAGTTTGGACCACTGTGATCCGTAGGATTTCCACTGGCTGATTACCAGAAGTAGACTGCCAGTCCTTTCTAGTCTGGAAGCTCTGCTGAAATCTGTTTAGTATCATAGCAACAAACAAGCCTTCAATGATAGATGGGAGGTGACTATGAATGAGGTATCAATAAAAGATCACCAAATACCAACAGAAAAATGGATATCCCTATATCCTTTAATTTGTCAACCCTCAATTATCTTAAAGAAATGGAAAAAATGTTATGTAAGCCTCCATGAATCTAGATGGTACTTAGCACCTAATAAAGACCTGTTACCATTCAGTCAGTTCCAACTCATGGTGACCCTATGTATGCCAGAGTAAACTGTACTCCATAGGATTTTCAATCACTGATTTTTTTGGAAACAGATCACCAGGACTTTCTTCTGAGGTGCCTATGGGTGGACTTAAACCTCCAATCTTTTGCACCACCCAGCACCAGCTGGCACCTATTACTCACTCACTCACTGCCACTGAGTCGATTGCAGCTCATAGTGACCACTCCTTGGGTTTCCGAGGCAGTATCTCTACAGAAGTAGATTGCCCAGTCTTCCTTCTGAGGGGTGGCTGGTGGGTTTGAACCACCAGCCTTCCACTTAGCAGTCAAATGCCTTAGGCACTACACTCTGATAAATAACTGCTAAAAAAAAAAAATCAGCTCTTCTTAAGCATTTAGCACTTGTCTTGTGCTATGGAAGGACCAGGAGAATCATGAGGCATGGAAGGACCAGGAGAATCATGAGGCGCTGGTCCTGCCCTAGGCGGAGCTTTCGTAGTTTCCCATGTGGTCCACATTTGAAGGAGTGAAGAGTGCTCATCCCTTGCCAAAAGCAAACAGTATTCTTTACTTTAGATTTTGAGCAAATAAATACTCACACATCAAATGCGCTGTACTCCAACGTTAAACGAGCTGGCAGCCCAGGAGAATCACCTGGACAGAAGCATCATCAAATTTTCAATTACAAGTCAGTAATAGCAGCATTCATAACAAAAGTGCTTGAGAACAATGTTGTTCTCTTTATTGAGCCCAGAGTAGCCTGCCTGATTCCTGATGATTCCTGACATACATGCGCTTGGCAGAATATGACAGAGCTCTTGTGAGTATGTAGAATTTTACAAGAATATAAAAAAGATCCACTGGAAAAAATATTTCCAATCTCCTCCCCCAGCAATACCAAAGTAACCAGTATTAATTATTTAGATTAGTAACTTGGTTCCACTACTCCCTTTCTTTCCCCCACAACTGGGAAAAAGAAGTGAAAGTAAATTTGGATCAAAAGTCAGGAAGCAAAGAGAAAGCAGTGAAGAATATTAATTACAAAAGACAAAGGTGTCCCATTTTAAAGGAAAGAGGGTACTATACTGGAAGACAGAGGGCATAACAGCAAATGACAGAAGACAGAGTTTGCTACTGCCTACCATTGTAGTAATAACCCTTAATGTCCTTGGGTGCTTCATCCAGCCGATACTCATTCAGCTTCTTCTGGGTCAACTCATGCCAGAATCCAACATCCAAGGCACTGCTAAAGGGGGCAAACTGCAATTTGGAGAGGCCAGGATCCCCTGTAGCTGCCGCCATTATTTGTTGCCTGTTAAAAACAAAACAGGACACAGCAAACCCACATAAAACCTGATGAGGAAGAACATTTAGAATAATGCTTAAAACAAGTAATGAAAGGGACACAGCCTACCTTAAGACACAACTTTTAAAACCACCCTAAGTAATTTGCCTATACACACTGCCATCAAGTTGATTCTGACTCAGAGACTGGGTTTCTGTGGTGGTTAAGTTTGTGAGTCAACTTGGCTGGGCCAGATTGAGTGGCTGGGCAGCTGAATGTAGTTATTCCCCATGGTGAGATTGGTCAATAACTCCATGGTGGAATCTATTGGAGCAGCTGAGTAGCTGCTTTGAGTATGTGGTCGCTTCCCGTATATAAGAAATAACTTTGGGAATGGTCTCTAGCTTATGGCACGCTTGGACCCTGCATGTAGCTGAGTTGTTGTTCAGCAGCCTGCCATGCTCTGCTGACCTTGGGCTTTCAATGGATTTGAATTAATGGCCTACTGTGTGGTTTGGTAACATAAGAACTGTGCCTTTTTACTTGTCAATCTTGGGCTTGTTGGCCTCAGCAGCCAACAGCTGCCCGAATGAAGAAAAGCCTCTACCCGGGAGCAGGAGGCAGAGCTGAAGCCCAAGGTTGAGGGGCCTTCACCCAGCCCCTAGAGCATGGCACTTTGAATTCGGACTTAAAGCCTCCAAACTGTGAGAGAATAAACTCCTGTTTGTTCAAGCCATCCCATTTGTGGTATATTCTTGTCAGAGCAGCCCTAGGTAACCAGAACAGTTTCCAAGGCAGTAAATCTTTATGGAAGTAGATTGCCTCATCTTCCTTCCACAGAGTGGCTGGTGGGTTTGAACTACCAACCTTCTGGTTAGCAGTCAAATGCCTTAGGCACTGCACCACCAGAGCTTCTTAATTTTCTATGGTGTTCTGTTTATTCTCCTCAAGATACAATTGATTTTCTTAACTATTCTGCTGTGATCTTCCTTTCTAGTTAGACTTTGCCTGACTGATGCACTAGTGTTATTCCTTCTCCAATACAATCCCAGTTCCAGCAGTTTTCACCATTCTATGTAGACATAGAGAACTTGACAAGTACAATATCAAATGCCCTGCAGTTAGAAATGCAAAAATCCAGACTGGTAGACTTCTTTGAGAAAGAAAATGAGTGAGTTTCTCCCCATACCCATGGTGGCTGAATTTCTGTGAAATCTTATATTTTATGTTTTAAGTGCATGAAAAATTTTCACTTACTCCACAATTTAATACCCCACGTCCTTAGATTACAGAGTAAATTAGCCTCTGCAGGCAATCATGCCACGTGTACTTTGTAATGTCCATTTCCCCCGCATACCCTCAAGTGTACATATCCTAGTTTGAGAAGCAGAACTAGGCAACTCAAAAAAAAAAAAAAAAACCTATAAACTGATGAGATCCTTCACTTTGCATCCTGTCCAATTACCCCATGAATACATTCATACTTCTGCAGTCAAACATATGAATCTTTCAAAAACTCACTGCCGTCGAGTCGGATCTGACTCATAGTGACCCCTCCTTGAGTTTCCGAGGTGGTAACACTACAGAAGTAGATTGCCCAACCTTCCTTCCGAGGAGTAACTGGTGGGTTTGAACCACTAGCTTTCTGGTTTGCAGTCAAATCCCTTAGGCACTACACCACCAGGGCTCCTAAACATACAAATAGTCACACTAAATGAGACACAGTTTAAAAAGACAGTTTCATATCCATTCAGAGAAGTTTTGTGTGAAATTTGTGCCAAAGTTATATAAAGCTGGTTTTCCAAACTCATTCAAGTTTAGAACTACAGATATGGAGCTTTGGACAGGCAGTAACTACATGATAAAATGAAAAATCAGTACACTACATAAAAAGTTATAAAAATCAAGGAGCAGAAAATGAGCCTGGAGCAAAGTGGTGAGAAAGCTTTGTGAGGAGATGGGCACTGTGTTATTCGAAACGATGGGTAAGGAGGGGTAGGTGGTGGAGGTCAAAGGAAGAACAGCAAAGGAACCACTGTGGGGGGAGACTGAGGCTGCTGTTCATAAGTGGAGGACTTTGTAGGTGCGAGAGCTCCACACACAAAGCTGCATGTTTACATGGAAAGAACGTATCAGCAGAAGGCTTCAAATTCGAAGCTGAAAAACATTAGAGTAGGAAGCTAGCAACAGTTTTGAACAGGGAATATGAAATAATTCTCCAGTGGCAAAATGGCTTGGAAGAAGGCAGAAAGGGAAGATAAGTTAGGAATCGGAGGATTCATATGATAAGGAAGTTAAACGATTTTAAGAGATAATGGATTCTTTTAACTGTAAGATGCTGAATGTAAACCTCATGGTAAGCACAAGAAAATTAATAAATCTACTCACCAAAACATAGGAAAAGAAAACAAAACAGCTCAATATACAAAAAACCAACAATAAATGAAAGACAAAGAAAATCCACATATAAAAACTCACACAGAAAGTAGAGAAGAGATAAGCAATCTGTAACACAAAAATATGTAAATTCATTCTTATCAATAACCACTGACTATAAATGGATTAAATGCATCAGTCAAGAGACAGAGTGGCAAAATAAATTAAAATAATAATAATAATAATAACCTATTAATATGCTGCCCACAAGAGACACACCTTAGGACAAAGACATATATAAGTTAAAAATCAAAGGCTGAGGCGGGGCAAGATGGCGGACTAGGCAGAAGGATTGCACAGACCCTCTTCAACAAAGAAAAGGGAAACCAATAAATACAGACACAGAAGATAATCTTGGACCCCCGAGCCTTGAAGGAAAGGATGCAGATTTGGACTAAACCCCAACTAGCAGAAGAATTTGCGTGAAAA